GTCAGAAGGCTGTAGCCCATGGTCAAATCTGGCCTCCTATTTTACTATGGGTCATGAGGTAACTATGACTTTTTGCATTTATAAATAGTTTTAAAAATTCTAAAGAAGGGTACTATTTTGTGATGTGAAAATTATGACATTCTAACTACTATCTTCATAAATCAAGTTTTAATGGAACACAGCCCTGTCCATTTTTTTATGAATTGTCCATTGCTGCTGTAATGGCAGAGTTTAGCAATTGCAACAGAGACCATGTTCTTGCAAAACCTGTAGTATTTACCATTTAGCACTTGACAGAAAGACTTTGCATACCTGTGGCTTACAGGGTTCTATTAAAATTCATTTTCTTGAAGACAGAAATATAGAATAGTATTTAAAACATAATATTCTACTATCAACCCATAATCTTTTAAATCTAATATTTTTAAAGGCTAATTACTGTTACTACAACTATTTTCAATAATAAATTAATTATACGTGATGCATTAATAACAATATAATGTTTCCTTTGTTCAGTTTCCTTGGCATTAGAAATAATTGACAACAATGGTTGAAATCTTGCTAATACATTCTCTTTTAGATGAATTATGCTTATATCCAAAATATTTCTCTGAAAGAATTATAATCCTTGGTGTGACATTTCAGAGACTATTGAGGGAAGACTGTTTTCTCTTTTTTGTTGGTGAGGTGGGAGAACAACAAGCTTCAAAATGAATTATCTCCAGTGATGAGGAACTTGAGAGACTATATAATCAAAACTGAAAGATCTTGAGCACTTGGAGAACCAAGGATAAGAGTTGGCAAATATAATCCACTGTAAATAAAGTCTGAATAAGAGAGTCTCAGAAAAAGGAGATAATAAAATGTAATATCTGTTAAATGTGAAAGTGCTAAGGAATAGTGAAAAAGGAAGATTTAAGGCTTTATAAAGGGAAAAAAAAATTCTCTTAAATCTTAATGCCAAAGTGGAACTGCAGTGAAAAACGCAGACTAGATGCTGAGTTGTACACTATGGTGAGAACAGTGTGTGATAAATCAAGGGAGCGGTCATAGCTAGTATGAGGGATGAAATTCACCCAATATTTAATACAGTATCAGAATTCACCTTCCGTAAAATTTTGATGAGGTCAACAGATACCATGGATATGAGTTACTAGGCAGGTTTGGATTCTTTCTCAAATAGAAAAGAAAGTTTTTATTTCTGTGACAGAAGGTTCAGAAATAGACAGATAAGGCATTTCTATATGTCAGCTACAGTTTAGTATCTAACCACAATTGATTTTAAATTTAGGTCTCATATATTTACTTTAATTCATTCATTTTTGTATGCATGTCTCATAAGCTTTGAATTCAGATATGCATTTGCTAATGTCTATAAAAGCTTTAAGAAAATGTTCTGAGCAAGTCAGCTAATATTCCATGGAATGTGTCATCAATCAAGAAATTATTACATTGTAAACCAGTTAAATAATACTCCTCAGCATCCATCTCTTAAATGGTCTAAGAGAAGGGTCATCACCATTATTCCCACTTACAAGCTATGATGGGATACATTTTAGAGAGGCATTTTTGTAAAATTAAGCAAAATACAGCTGAAATAAGAGGAAATGAATCCAGATAAAATAATATGAAAGGAGGAAAGAATTATCTGCTATTAATAACAAAAACATATATATAGCTATTGGTATTTTCTGTGCTATTAGGTAATCAATTATTACTTATTTATGATTGAAAAAACCTGAATCAGAGTAAACATGAAAATATTAAGCTATGAAATTGTATTGCTATAAATGAAATTAAATGAACATGGTTTTCTTAAAAGAAAAAATGTAATTGATTGTTAGAGTAGAAATCTCCCAGTTTTAATCACTTGTATCATACATGAATATTAAATTGAACACGGATTCATTACAAAAGCCTTAGTTAGGGGCCAGCCGAGTGGCGCATTGGTTAAGAGCTGGCTTTGGACGCCAGAGGGCCCCAGTTCGGATCCCACATATGAAGGCCAGTGACACTGCCCTCTACAGCTAAGATGCTAAACAACAGCTCAACCTGGAGCTGGGATGCCGTGAGTCACCAGTGCCGGTGTAGGCTGTAGCCCCTGCTGCAGTGGGTTGCCATGGGCTACCGTATGTAGCCAGCAGCCAGCGTGAGCGGCCAGCAGCCGCAGTGAGCAACCGTCCAGAAGCCGGTGACTGTTCTGCCTTGCCCAGGAGGAGCGCAATGATGGTGCTCACTTGGGCCAATGAAGCAACGTCCTCCACAACTAGACTGAAGAACAAAAGGACAGCAACTTGTCTGTTCCCCTTCCCCCAATTCCCCAGTGCTGTTCCCATCCCCCAATTCCCCAATAAAAATCTTAAAAAAAAAAAAGCCTTGGTTAAACATTTGTTAAACATTCAATAAACTTATATTTGTAACTTTATATTCATTACAGAAACCTTGTTTCAATATTACATAACCTTGGATGTATAGTAATGAATCTATATTAACAATAAATGGTGTCCATAAAAACAACTTTAAGAAATCTTTAAAGTGTCTTATCCTATCATGGATGAATCCACATAAATCAACTCATATTTATCTACTCAGACAGAGGAGAGCTATCTTGTTCTATTCTACCTCTAAAAGTCACCCAGAATTTGACTCAAAAATGATTATCTTTTATTTGAATACAACCATTTACTCCTAGTTATTTTGTTGAAATTTCAGAAGAGATCTCTATTGAACTGTTCTCTATTTGGAAAAACTATCCTGAAATCATTGATTTTTTGGAATCAAGTGAGTTTGCTTTTTTCTTTTCCTTTTATTTGTGGAGGGGGTGGGTAGAGTTTATTTGACTGCTTTGAATTAATCTTTACAAACAAAAAAATAAATTGTATTTTTTCTATTTCCTGTAACTAGACCACAAATACTTGTCAAATGCCTAAATAAATACTTATATTTACATAATTGGGGACTTGAACTAAGCAAAATGAATACTGAAATGTGTATATACTGTTTAGAAAGCCTCAGACTCTGCTCCTTAGCTAGCCACAGCTACATATAGTCATTAATGCAATATTTTCCATGTTTACTAATGCACACTTTGACCTATTTAATAAAATGTTTAAAAACTGTCCACATCTTGAAAAAACATTTTAATCCTCAGTGTTTTAAATTGGGAAGATCTTTCAATTTAGCTCATCAAAATTAGGATAAACATAAAAAACAACAAAAAAGCAAGATCACATTTTCAGAATGGCAGAATGAAGACCTCCAAAAATCACACCTCCAGAAACCATCATGGTAACTGGCAAAAAATGTCCAAATCAACTTTTTTAGAACTATAGAAACTAACTATGGGTTGAAGCAGTCTGAAGAGTATTTATGCAGGAAAACTGGCTGAATTTCATTAAGAACACTGAGCTTTATGGTATTTTAACACTCCCTAGTCCCATATTCCTTGACCTAGCTCTGCATGGTAGGCTTAAAAACCCATAGCCTCGTAACTATGTTAGCTGTGAAAAACTGTATCTTAGGGGACAGAATGCATGTGGAGCTTCCCAGAAGTCTCATAATCATAAATGGTCATGATTTGACCTACCTAGCAGCTTGTTCAAAAGTTCCATATTCAGGGTTTGTCTTTATTTGACCTAATTCAGACCTCTCTCTGTCTTAGCCTCAGGGTATTTGTTGCAAACAATTAGTTACAATTATTTAACCATACAGCTGCCTGAGGTGGTGTTACCATGTGGGGCAGCGGTTCTCAACCTTTCACAGGGGTCGCCTAAGACCATCGGAAAACACATATTTTCGATGGTCTTAGGAACCAAGACACCGCTCCTCTATCCGTCTCCAGGCCCACATGCAGATATGCCCACATACGAGTACCCGGCGACCCCTGTGAAAGGGTCATTAGACCCCCAAAGGGGTTGCGACCCACAGGTTGAGAACTGCTGATGTGGGGCTAATGAGAGGCCAATCAAAAGACTAAAAGGAAACATTGTGTAATAGGATCCATAGAAGGCTTTGAAAAGCTTCAACATGTTCCTGGGAGTTTAGGAAGCCACAGGCATGTAAAGTACTGTTTGCATGTCCAGGAAAGATGTGAAAATGCCCTAACCTTTCATCTCTGGCTGAACTTAATTAAGACTCTGTGTGAATAGGAGGTGAAGGCTAAGGCATAGTTGTAAATTCTCTGCAAGAGCATTGAAGACGTGCTACAACATACACAAACAGGGCCCCAGCAAGTTCTGGGAGGTTTATTGGTTAAAAGAATTTAAGGACATCTCTGTCAAATCATTAGCTGACCGCTAAGCTAACTGATCAGAGACTTCAGTGGCCATAAACAACTAAGATTACCAACCTCAAAATTTTTAAAGAATTTGTCTAGGAAAATCACTAAATAGGCCAACAACATAACAACACAGCAACAAAAGTCAACCCTGAGGAGAGGAATCTGATTTCCAGAGTTGCCACATTATATTATTTAAAATGTCCAGTTTTCAACAATAAAATATGAAGCATGCAAAGAAATAAGAAAGTATGGCCCATATACAGGGGGGAAAAGCAGCTAATGGCAACTGTTCCTGTGGAAGCCCAGATATTGGACTTGGACTTCAAACCAGCTATTACACATATGTTCAAATAATTAAAGGAAACCATGTTTAAAGAATTAAAGGAAAGTATGAGAACAATGTCTCACCAAAAAGGGAAGAGTAGTAAAAATATATGAATTATAGGAAAAAAATAATTAGAAATTTTGGAATTGAAAAGTACAACAACCAAAATGAAAAATTCACTAAAGAGGCTCAACAGTAGATTTGAACTGACAGAAGAAAGAATCAGTGAAGTTGAACACAGGTTTATTGAGGTTATCCAGTATGAGCAACAGAGGAAAAAAAAAATGAAAAGACTTAGAGAGCTGTGAAAAACCATCAACTGTATCAACACACCCATAAAAGGAGTTCTAAAAGAAGAGGAGAGAGAAAGACACAGAAAGAAAATTTGAAAACATAATGGCTGGAAATTTTCCAACTTTGATGAAAAATACTCATAAGGATGTACAAGAAGCTCAACAAACTCCAGGTAAGAAAAACTGAGAGATCTACATCTAGATACATCATAGTCAAACTATCCAAAGTTAAAGACAAAGAATCTTGAAAGCAGCAAGAAAGAAGCAGCTCATTACATACAAGGGAGCCTCAATAGGATACAGATGAGTCTCATCATAAATCATTGAGTCCAAGTTAATGAGAATAAATGTTCAAAATGCTGAAAGAAAAAAAATGTATCACCAATGCTAAACTCAGCAAAATTATCCTTCAAAAATGAAGGAGAAATTAAGACAAAAGCAAAGAATAACAATTCAACCATAATAGTCGAAGACTTACATTCCTACTTTGAATAATAGATACTCAGTAGGTGTGAATAACATTACAAACCAATTAGACCAAAAAGATACCCATAAACACTCCACAGAACACTAGAATACACATTCTTCCAAAGGCACATTGAACAATTTTTGTGGTAGATAACGTGTTAGGCCATAATATATTTTTTTTTAAAACTGAATTCATATAAAATGTTCTCTGACCACAGTGTAATATAATAAAATTAGAAATGATTATCTAAGGAAAATTTGGGAAATTCACAATGATGTGGTAGAACTTTTTAAATCTATAAATAACCAATGAATCAAAAAGGAAGTGAGAAAGGAAATTAGAAATTAAGAAGAATGAAAATAAAAATGCAACAAACCAAAATTAATGGGATCCAGCCAACATGGTGATTAGGGGGAAATTTATAACTGTAATTGTATATTGAAGAAGAAGATAGACTTTAAATTAATAACCTAATCTTTCACTTTATGACTAGAAGAGGAGAAAATTGAATGCAAACCAATTAGAAGGAAGGAATTGTAAAGATTAGAGTGGAAATAAGTGAAATAGAGAATAGAAAAAAATAGACAAAATCAAGGAAACCAAAAGTTGGTTCTTTAAAAAAGTCAACAAATTTGATAAACCTTCAGGTAGATTAACTAAGGAAAACAGAGAGAAGACTCAAATTATTAAAAGTCAAGAATTAAACAGGGGACATTACTAGCAACCTTATAAAATCCACACTCTTATTTATCTTTTTTATGTGCTGAGGTATATTGCACACAGAAGATAGTCTATATATATATATTTGATGATTTATTAGATTGATTTAAAAACTAAAAGAAATCTTTCAAAAACTATTAAAAACATTATTCTCCACTGTCAATAACTCCAGTGCTTCTAGCAGATATTATAGGTCTGAGTAGGACTAAGGAACTATTCATTTTACCTGGTTGTTAGGCAGCTACTGAGCCCAGCATCTGGAAATGCAGAATATATTTAATTTATTGACTCTTGTTCAAAGACACAGTGAACTGCCCAGCATACTTTAATTATGTTTAGTTTTATTGCTCCATGGAGAACATTTTGTCATTGATTGCCTATTTTGGATTATCAAGAAATGAATATAATTAATGCTAAGCCTATTTTATGATATCAATATGAATTTGGAATATATAAAACCATTAATTCAACATATGCATCTAAACAGATATAATAAAAATGAACATTAAGGAGGGGTTACTGTGCACATTTTGAGCAGTCAAATAGGTTAAGTAATTATGAGAAAAATCAAAGGGTGCCTGAGACTTCAATGGGTAGCTAACATTAAATCGCAAAAAGATAAACTGTTGACAAATCATTAGTGCTGACAATTTCTTACCCTCTTCTTCCAACATGTAATTATACAAGTACCACACTATTTTTTGAAGGAAAAAGTGAAATTCTGAGGTACCAATAATTTATTGTGAAATTCTTTTTACCTAGGGGATTGCTCTTTTTCTTTTTAAACCAAATATTCATTTGCGTGTTTTTTACAATACAGATAGTGGCTTTAGAAATTAAGCAATTCAAATTCATAGTCAAGAAGCACTTCGATGTGTTATAGTTTTACTATGTCACCAGAATCATTTTTAAGGCTTTTTCAGATTATTTGCATCTATAACAATTCAATTGATAATCAGATTTTTAGTTTTGTATGTAGACATGTGAGTACTTCAACCATTTGCATCTTTCCAGGGTAAGTTTCTCCTTTGATTAAAAAATTAAAAAAAAAAATGGGCCAGCCGAGTGGCGCGATGGTTCTGGCTTGGGACGCCAGAGGGCCCCAGTTCAGATCCCACATAAGAGGGCCAGTGACACTGCCCTCTACAGCTAAGATGCTGAACAACAGCTCAACCTGGAGCTGGGCTGCTTTGAGTCGCTAGCCACGGCATAGGCTGCAGCCCCTGTGGCAGTGGGTTGCCATGGGCTACAGTGTGTAGCCAGCAACCAGCATGAGTGGCCAGCAGCCACAGTGAGCACCGTCCAGAAGCCGGTGACTGATCTGCCTCGCCCGGGAAGAGCACAATGATGGTGCCAACTTGGGCCAGTGAAGCAACGTCCTCCACAACTAGACTAAAGACCAAAAAAGGAGAGCAACTTGTCTGTTCCCCTTCCCCCAATTCCCCAATAAAAATCTTAAAAAAAAAAAATTAGAAATGGCCATAGACACTTAAGACACTAATACATCCAGTAATAAAGCACTAAAGCACTGTTTTATTTTGTCTTATTTGGAAAAGTAAACCAAAATTCTGTTTGTTAAGCCCTTGTTTCTAAAGTCTTCTTCCCTTCGAGAATGTATGTGTAGTAATTGGGCGAGGAATCTTTAAAATTGACATAGAACACCTTATCTACCACTCTGTGAGGCTACTTTGTCATAAGTTGTATATGAGTATGTCAAGGACAACACTATAATGTATAATTAGAAATAAACCAATTAATACTTGAATTATCACAGCATTCCCCTACTTTCCCTGGCTTCTGGCTGCTTATCAAGTGTTGACACTTGTATGCACCTTTGTTATATTTAATCAGATAGTATTATAAGCAGAGGGACTACTTAAGAAGTCAGAGACATTAAATGATGCTGTATTATAAGCAGCTTAGAGTCAAGAAGGTGGGGAGAGAAAAAAGAAGCCATGGGCTGACTTTGGGGCAACTGGGAATTGAGATTGGGAAAAATTATTCAGGAAACAGCTGCTATGTTAAGAAAATCGGGGTCGGGAGAAAATAATTCTCAAGATACTTGCTGTGCATTAAAATGCATTTATCTGTGAGAGATTGAGTACAGAACTGGAGTATTCTAATTACTTTTTCACTGCATGAACTGTAATTCTTTGAATTTAACGTCTCACTGAATTTCCGCCCCGCAGGGCCCTTGGATTTATTCAGATTACACACTCACACATGCACACGCACACATACACATTCGATATGCACACACACACTCATACATGCACATGGGTTAATATGTTTATTCAGCCATGATAAATATAAAATCTCAGAAAATTGTGTTTATGGGTGTATTTCCTTAGCACATGTTAGCTGTGTTATTGAAATGGCTCTCTTCAGCCTCTAATTACCAAGACAGCTGTCATTTGAGCACATATCTACCTAGACGGCCTCATTCATTGTGTCAGTAGCATCCCCCATTACATGAGCAAAGGCCAGTTGATTCAGAAAGATGCCATCTGACTTTCATAGAACAATCTGGAGAACACAGTGTGGGCCAAGACTAGACTGCATTTCGCAGACTCTTTCTAGGCATGCCAACTGTATAATGGATTTTAGCGGTGTTTTTTGTAATATACTTCTGGTAGATATGAAATCCTTTCATTTCTGAGCTTTGAGTTTGTGGGTCAGTTAGCTGGGAGGAGTAGCTATAATGAAAGCTGGCTGAATTTTCTTTGGTTCTCTCTTTCTTCTTCTAACTTACTTTGAGAGTGTTGGCAGTACCCATCCACCAAAAAACACGTATGGAATTGGTTTGTATTCAGTTGTATTAAGAACTCTGTTGAGAACTCCTAAATATCATGAGGCATACATTGAGTTCTATTGTAACTCTTCTCCTTTATTGCATGGGGTTTCTCAAACCAAAGACTGATTACTTTCTAAATTACATATTTGACAGTAAAGTTGAATAGCTTTATAGCCTCCTCTTCACCATGTAACAGTAGAAATAATGGGTAACATTTATCAGAATGGGCATCTTCCCATACTGCCAATAGAATGGTAAATAGGTGTCACCTTCCTTGTGGGGCAAATGTCTGCATGATTCAGTGCTTCAAAATTACCTTTACCATTTGTCTCAACTATTCCACTTTTAAAAATTTATTACAAAATAAAAATACTAATACTGTACACAGTGATATATAGATAAGATGCTAACCAGAGGATGATTTGTAATGGTTTAAAAAAAAAAAGGAAATACCTAAATATCCAGTACTTATTAAATAGATCCTAGTAGACTGTAGTACATTCCTACAAAGATATGCTACGTAACCGTTAAACTTATGCTATGTGATGTCATTTTTTATTGTTCATGTAAAATGTTCAACATATATTAATGGTAAAGACGGACACAAAATAGTGTTATAGATATTTCTATTATCTAATTTTCTTCTTTGTATTTTAAACATTTTTATTATGAATAATATAGCAGGCAACTCTAGTTAAGCAAATGAAAATTTATTGTAATAATGAGAGCTAGCTTGAGATTGGTCTGGAACTATGAATTGGAAGGGGCCTGGAAACTAGGACTAGAGTAGAAGGAACAGTCTTAATTAGCACAGCATCACCTCTGCTGCTTCTGCTGTTGTAAAATGAACTCCACACTTCCTCACATCCTGTATCACTCAAGATTAAAGGCCCTGCATAAAGGGTATCATTATCCTAATTGATGCCCTTTTCCAGGCTCTGACAGTTTAGGAAAAATAAGGAATCTGAGACTTTTCCACTTGCCACTGTGGAAATGAGATACAGTAAGTAGGGATTACCTTTTCAATAACATTTTAGGGAGTAGGAATAAACTAATTTCCCCAGAGAAATTCAGAGTTGAAAGAATAGATACCTGACATTGCCCCATATGTTATATGTCCTTCACAATATTTGATCTTGAGAATAAAAAGTTATACTAAAAAAAAAGGAAAAGGTACAAATTATTACACA